TTTAATCACTTTTGACCAAAAAAGCACATTTTTGTGCACATTTCAAACTACAGTGTCCATAAAAATAAAATACTAACAAAACTTTAAAATTCATACAATAAGCTTTCTGAAAATATATAGTTTTGTGGACAAGGGAGGTCATCTTGGTTTTCTAATTAATTAATTAAAATACCTGTCAGGTAAACTGCATCTCTACCTTAAAGTGGGAGGGTAGTCACCTACGCAACACACACTAAAAACGCAAAGACTCATTGGTAGACGCTTGTTTGTAAACAAATACATGCTATGACCACCTGACGCATGGGCATCAACAATAACAAATATGTGTTGACACTAATTTGTCAACACATATTTGAAGATGGAAAATAAATAACATCTTCAATGTTTGTTTGTCTTTGATTAAATTGAACATGTCAGTGTAGACACTAGTATTTGATCTAACCATTTCCAAAAAGTGGCCACCGGTGACATTATGTGTTGATGTATACAAGCAAACAAAATGGTGATTTATTTTAACACATAGTCCACTTATGTTGTATTTCCCTATTCACTTTGGCTATACATGTAGGTTTTCAGCAGGGAAAGTAGACATGTTTACCAGACTGGCAAATATCTAAGTGCTAAATTATAGAAGTTAAGTTTACAATGAATGCATCAATGAAAATTGACAGAATTTCTAATGAGACATGTCCAACACATGTAGTGAAAACACTTCTTCTGTAATGCAGAAGTGGCTTAGAAATAGGAAAGAGGGTAGTTATACTTATAAACTCAAGACGCTTTGTAACAGAACAAGTCAGAGTGGTTCATGGGTGGTTTTATACATGAACAGGAATGTATACCACGATAAAAAAAAACGATGACAAATATAATGACTTACCTGTTGACAGGAGTGATTTAAATATTTGTCCTTTCAATGTTACTAGTTGTTGGTAAAACATTCTTTCAGTGGAAGCAAATTCATGTAAAATTGAGACAAATCCACTCGAGTTCTTATCAACAATGCATGCACATTGGTCACCTGCTGCAGCTATACTTCTTACCCAACCCAGCTGAAAGGAATAATATGATTGGTTTGATATTTGCTAAGGTGATTGCTGATTGGTTGCCTGGAATCACCCAACACCATTTACTGCATCAGATAATACATAAACTGGGAGACCAATTGTGCCAAACAGTATAGTGAAAGTAGTGAACATTTCAACGTGAACTTTGATATACAGGAAGTCATGCATGGTAACTTTGGCAAAACTTTTTCAAGAATTTCATAAAAAAGAATTATTAAATTAAATGTTCACAGTAATTTAACTGTGTTCTACTCTGCCACAGTACAAGTGTGCAATGCATTGTGGAAGATAACTTCCCATATTTAAAACATTACAAAACAATCATGATAGTTTTGACCATTTGAGACTTTGTTTCTCAAAAAAAAATATCTGATGACCACCATTTTTTTACTTTATTTTCAGTATCCTGACTGCCATTATAATGAAAGTATGAAGAGGATCACATATAACCTCATTTAACATTCTCCTTTGCAGAGACTATGGGTCTTTTATCACTAAGCTAGGTAGTCACCAGAGAACACCAGACTAGGTCAGGTCATAGGCTTGAAGAATAGGAAGGGAAAGTGCTCATTTAATAAACAAGTCTTTGATGCAAAAAACAATGCTATTTTACTTTGCCTGACTGTCATGTGACGATTATCACTATTTTAATTTTAGATGGTATTATTAAACTCACAATGAGACATGAACTTACCCTTCTCACAAATTGCAGTCTTTCTGGTTGTTTCACCCGAGGTACATATTTGACCGTGGGTCCCTTTGGTATGGTAGACCTCCGCTTCACAGCGTCTTTATCAGGAGTGGCCGGTCGAATAAAACTCTGCAACTCTTGCAGACTGGATAACAAATTGACAAGAAAGGAGTAAATGAAACACACTTTTCTGCATCAGAAAATATTAAATTATGTTCATTCCTTTTTTTTTAATGATGGACATCATGCCCCCCACAAAAGGGAGCCATTTTGTTGAAATGCTTGCTGGGGGTTTTCAGTTTGAAAATAAGGCTGAAAACACAAGATTCAAAATGCACATGCCAAATTCCAGAAAATACTGGTACTGAAAAAAGGAGAAAATGGCCATATCTAACAGCATTCAGACTAGAAAGAAAATTCCTTATTCGGAAAAAAGTCTTATCATTTACAGGAAATGTATTCAGTAGAAGTGATTCAGAATCTACAATTGTTGAAAAATGTAAACAAACTCCTGTGTTCTGTAAATCAGATTATAGATATAAAAGATACAATTGAAAATATTTTTATATTCAATTAGTACAGCTATTACAATATGATTAAAGGTCAGCAGTCGTCGCGCCGCGTCCTGTTCGATATGGGACTCATAGCGACGTATACAACGCATGTAAAATACACTGTTTATTTACATGAAATTCGAAGCGTTGCGCGACGACCACCACGCTTTAAAATGTATTAAATCTTACCCTGGTTGTCTTCCAATATAATATATCTCTGGTTGATAGGATTGTCCATCAGCAAGTAGTAATGTATGGTTGGTACCAGCAGCTATATCCCATACTGGTACATTGGATGGTACCTAGAATGCAAATACATTCAAACCTGTGTTAGCAACCACATCTATATAATGACAACCTGTCTATAGTGACCACTTTTAGGCAGTCCCAAGGCATAATGTATGAGCAACCCATATAAAAACCACCTGTCTATGGGGACCACTTTTAGGCAGTCTCAAGGCATAACATACAAGCAGCCTGTGTATAAAAGCCGCTTGTCTTTTATGGCCACTATTTCAGTTTCCGCAATATCTTTGCCAATTTGCCTTTATTCAAAGAACAAAATAATATTTAGCATTCTGTTATTTTCTCAATACTAACTTATTTGTTTTTTTGGACAAATATTTTGAATCAGATTATTAGTTTTCAATCCATTAAAAATAATCCAATCTTTATATCTAACTAACTGTCTATAAGACAATTTTATTGGAAAGTCCCTTAGGTGGTTACAATACACAGGTTTGACCATAGTCATATTGATATATCTCACCCTAGCAGTTGTTACATAGATGATCATTGTTCATTGCATACAGAGCTAGCATTACCAAGCTGCTGACGAGTGGTGGATAGCGTTACTTGGCAACACTTCAGAATATTGCTTAGTAACTAAGCAATGCATAGCTACAGTATATTGGAACGTGGACAGCTAAGCTTAGTGGGGGATAGAAAACCGTGAATAGAAGACTTACCTTAACTCTCTTTGGTGCAAGTTGACCAGTGTGACCAAGCTGACCATCGTTGTTTGAACCCCAGGAATACACCTATAAAGATAAACAGACAATTTCATATCGTAGTGAGACATGACCAACATCACCATACTGGATGAGCAGCTGACTCTATGTGAAATAGTTTGCCAGCCAATAGCAACACAGTATCAAATGTCACATCAGCCCAGAATCTAATTTACTTTTCCACAGTGTTCTACATGCATCATTCAAACAGCATTTTGGCTTCACAGTAACTCATCTCAAAACCCTGAGAACCAACATGTTGCTGTGGTCAGCCACTAGTAAATATTCAGTCAGAAATGCACGTAATATGTATGTTATAATAATTAATAAATGTATGTGTGTCTTTGAACATACTGAAAAGAAGGCGCCACTTTTATTTTATATGTTTTGGCAAAAACACAAAACTAAATAAGGAACAGACAACAACGAGCAGACCTTTGTAAATTGTCGGACTAGCAACTGTATTCTAGCGTTCAATTGTGGAAAAGTGAATTTGACACTGTGGAAAGTTCATTATTGTTAATACAGTATGCCAATAAGTGATATAACCTATATTGACTTGTTCAACCTGAATGGTGCACATTATGTATACCTTGAACATGAACAAAACTTCACTTTACATTCATGATATGACAATCTAATCTCACCTGTCCACTGCTACTAAGCACTATAGAATGTGCAGAACCTGAAGCCACACGAATTATATTCTTAGCACTAAGTGTCTTGATTAAGGTCGGCTGAATTCTGAAAAAAAATTGACAAAATAGAATTTTATTATTTAACTGATCTTTTCAGACACTTATAATTACACATAACAATGTATTTTGACATTTCATTTATGTTGTGAATGTTTATATTTTAATATGTTATTAAAATGGACATTCTTGTTAAAAAAATATCAATAACTGCATTAATTAGTTACATGTTTATGTAATAACTTTTATTATCACATCTCACTGCTGTTACGCATGCTGTGATTGGTTGAGACTCGGTCACATGACATGGAATAAAAATGGATATTACATGGTATATTGCCCGCCAAGTGGATATTACATGGGTATATCACATGGATGACGTCACTGAAACTACTGCGCAACGATACTGCGCACAACAAATTGTCGTTCGCTGCACTGGGGCTGTTCTGGCCGCTGTTGCTTTCAGGGTTTTGAAGGAACTTTAGCCATCCGAAATAGACAGTGAACGTGCCAGAATGGATATTAAGTAAGATACTCTGTTTTGATGTATAGGGTATTTTTTATATGGAGCAAAAATGTACGGCAAAGCCGCCACTGAAACGTCGCAGCCGGGGTCGCTGTAG